TAAAAAAAAAATAATTAGACACTTGTAAATCTAATAATAATGGTAGTAATAATAGATCTATACATCAATTTTCATGTTTCCTGTAATTTATGCCTCTTGTGTGTTTTTCATTCATTTTCTCCGCTCTTTTCTTTAAGTGTATTCTGTGTTGTCTGGTGTAGTGTGAGTGTGAGTGTGTATGGTTCGTTGGCTTATCTGCGTAGGAGCCGCCTCCTACGCGCCTCATCTCAGCGCGGCGCATTGTGAATGTGCGTGGTCAAATGCTTGGACAGATAGTCGGCCCGGGCGAAGCACTTGCCACACGACTCGCAGTGGTACGGCCGCTCGCCGGTGTGGATGCGCAGATGGCGCGTCAGATCCGATTTGCCGCCGAACGCGCGTCCGCAGAACAGGCAGACGAACGGACGTTCGCCGGTGTGCTTGCGCACGTGCAGCTTCAGGTTCTCCTTGGAGCGGACGCACTTGCCACAGAACGGGCAGGCGAAACGCGACGTGGTGGGCCTGCAAAGGAAGTTCGTTAAAAATAAATCTGATTTGGTAAAGTCAATAAATAGCGAAACTGGTTCGTTTGTACACGTGAACTAGTTCATTTGGCATGGTCTCAAATTCTTTATTTTCTCCATTAATTGTTAAGTGATTCAAATGAACTGCTAAGTTCTAAATCTGCACTTAGTTCAATTGAACTAGTTCTTATGATATTTTCCAACATTTTTTTTAGATTTTGCTAAAGTATAAAAATTGCTTTAAGTGTATAAAGTTTTAGTCATTATGAACTGGTTCACAGGAACTATGAATCAGTTTCGTTTGATGGATAATAATCACATGGAACCAGTATATGACTTATTGAACTAGGTCAATACACTAGTTCATTTGTGCAAACATCTTTTGTATATGACGGGGAAACTGCTATGGTAAGTTCTTGGTGAACTAGTTCACTCATGGAATCAGTTGAACTTACCGCTTGTCGCGCTGTCGCTCGGCCGCATCGACTCGCAAGAAGTTGAGTATTGAAGCCTCCTGCGGATTGAGGCCCAGGAACTGCTCATTTGGTATGCGCTCCGCATTGATCAGCGAAGTCAGCGAGCTGAGCGAGCTAATGCCGCTGCCGCCCACGCCGCTGTTGGCAGTGCCAGCTGCGCCAGCTCCTGGACTGGAATTGCAGCCAGCTGCAGCGGCCGCCGCAGCTGCTGCTGCCGAGGAGGAGCCAGCCGCAGCGCTGGCCATTGGCAGTGAGACGTGCGCCAGATGCGGAGGCAGTTGCTGAGATTGCGACTGCGACTGCGACTGCGACTGCTGCTGCTGCTGTTGATGATGATGGTGTTGTTGCTGTTGTTGTTGCTGTTGCTGTTGCTGTTGATGGTGATGATGGTGTTGCTGATGATGATAGGAGGGATCCGTTTCCAAGTGGTGTGCGCTGTTCAACAGGCGTGACTGCAAGGCAAGAACAAGTTCAAATTATGGACATATACTCGGAATATAGAGGACTACAATAGTTTATTGGAATGATCTATATAGCAAGGCCAATATTGGGCCAAATATTCCTTTAAGTTATAGGCGTCGGGGTCTCGTGAAAGATGGGAAATTTTATGATAGATGCATGTTAGCGGCAGCTGCTGGGGGTAAGCCCAGGGGCAAAGGGAATCCTCCACATTTCCGATGTCATCAAGTTCGATTCGATCAATTTGAGCTACTGCAGCCGCGCATGGCCGGGTAAATTGCTGTAATCGCACCACTTACCCGCTTGTTTGTACTATGTATGCCGTCCGAGCTGCTGATGTTCGGCTCCGTGGCGCTCGTGGAGGCCGAAGCCGATGAGTTGTTGTCATTGTAGAGCATCGTAATGCCCGCCGAATCGATGGTGTTGTCCTGCTCGTGCTCCTCGCTGGTGGCCTCTTGCTGATGGCCGGGATCGTCGCCCTCGCGCTTCACATTGATGCGCAGATCCTCGCCTTCGTCGGCCAGCATCGGCTCCTGCGAGCTGGTGACCACATCCTGGTCCAGCTGGGCCGATGTGGCTGCTGCTGCGGCTGCGGCTGCTGCCGCTGCTGCTGTGCCGCTAATCATGCGTGCCACGCCCACGCCCACACCGACACCAACACCCACACCGATGGACTTCTTGCCGTGCAGACGCTCGAGCGCATGGTTGAGCCGATGCTTCTTGAAGCTCTTCAGATAGCGGAACTGCATCCCGCAGACGTCGCAGGTGAAGAGCTTGTCCGCGGGCAGGCGGGCGCGATGATTCTGCTCCTTGTGCTTGGCATAGGCGCTGCGATAGCGATACGACTGCCCGCACTGCTCGCATATGAAGGGCTTCTCCTCGCCCGGCCCAATGTGCGGATGCTGCAGTGCCGCATGCTGCTCCAGCAGCCAGACGTTCGGGAAGTGCGCGTTGCAGACGACGCAGCGCGTCTCCTCCTCGATGGGCTCGCTGAACAGCGAGGAGCACGTGTCCGACGGACTCTTCAGCATCTGGCTCAGCTGCTGGTGCTGGGCGAGCAGTGCGCCGCTCGGCGGCGGCGTCGATGAGGTAGACGACGAGGAGCTCTTCTCCTTGCAGCTGCTCGAGGTGTCCGTGCAGCTGACGGGCGTGCCCGCCCCCGACAGCAGCAGCTGCGTGTATTGGCGCAGCCCGGTGGCGTCCACAATGACGCCAGCTCCACTTCCAGCTCCAACTACCCCAGTGCTGGGCGTGCTGCTGTTAGCGGTGCGACGTCGGTGCTGCTGTTGCTGGTGTTGGTGTTGGTGCTGCTGGGCCAGCAGCTGCTCCAGGGACTCCTTGTATAGCAGTGCGCTGCTGTTGGGCGTCACGACGCTGCGCTCGCTGCCCAGCTCGACAATGGTGACGTCATCGTTGCCCTCCGACTGGGCCTCCAGCTGCGATTCCACTGAGATGGCCGTCGATGAGGTGGCCATCTGCTTGGGCGAGGGCGTGCCCGCCGATTTACCGCCCTTCGAGGGCTGAAAATAGCCAGTGGGCGTGGCATAGCGCATATTGAAGGCGACATGAGGCGGCGGCGGCGTTGGCTGTGATTGCTGCTGTTGCTGTTGCTGAGACGGTTGCTGTTGCTGTTGTTGTTGTTGTTGTTGCTGTTGTTGTTGTTGTGTGGCTTGTTGCTGCTGTTGCTGTTGTTGTTGTTTGTACTGTGGATCGCTGGAACGGCTCGTTGTGGACTGCGTCTGCTTGGCCGCGTAACTGGCCGCAGTTGGCTGATAGTCCTTGGTAAGCAGATCGCTTAACGTGGTAAAACGGTGGGGAAAGTCCTTTGGCGCGCTGAGCAGGCCGCGAGTGCTGCACAAAAAAGGCCAAAGGCAACGAATTGAATGTGCTCGAGATGGAATGGAAGTGAGTGGGGGGACTTACCGCAACGCCTCCTCGGCCAGCCAGGTCTGATGGTGCAGCAGGTTCAGTATTCTGGACGGATCAATGTCGAACAGGCTCAGCCCGAGCGGCGAAAAGGGAAACGCAAACGGCGTCGGACAGCGACTGGCGGCCATCGCGCTCATCGGGGAGCCAAAGTTGCGCAGCAGCTGTCAGGGGAAGAGGATAGATCAGATCAACGCGCACTATATACGTACATATGTATGTATGTAGTATATGCATATCTATGGTCAACTATTAATGCTGCTTGTCGGTAGGTTGGGGGGCTCGTTGGGGTCGGGGGGCCAGACAATCGCTGCTAGATTGCCAGCATGTGGCATGTGGCATGTGGCATGTGGAGTGTGTGAGTGCATTAGGTTCAAGACAGAGACACAATCGAGATATGCATACATGGTTAGATATAGGGAGAGCGGGGCGAGTGGGGGGAGCATGCAGTGCGGGTTTTATGTACATAGCCTACACTCTCCAGCAAGAGTCGTCTCTACGCAAGCCAAACAGCACAACTAAGCATAATTATGTGGAAATAGTGACTAAGACTACCTTAGTTGCCCTTACTAATTGTTGAGTCAGTCGTCGCGAAGTACTTACGTATGCGTTGCCAGCGTTTCAGGGCCTAGTTATAATTATTAGAAATGCAATACAAAGTGTAAATATACACTGTCATACAAACAAAAGATGCGACGATCATCACCAATCGACAAGTGGAAAGAAATAGTAGAAATATGCAATATATGCAAAGACATGAGTTATTGAAATTGCCAGTGTTGCGATTTAAATAAAAGTGTTTGAGAATTTTGAGTTGATGCCAAATGAAATTTAAAGGTTTAATTACCGATTAATTACTCACAAAATAGTGTTTAATTTCTTAAGAATTTGTAATGACTCGTATTTCTATATACGAATAAAAGTACTTACTTTGAAGTAATTAGTCATTTACTTATTGTAACTTATAATTCCTCGAGTAATTAGTATTTCGATTTGAGTAATTTCAGATACTTAAAGTAATTAAACCTTTAAGTTTGTATTTTTTTTTTAGAATGTTAATAGTTCAAATACGTACTTATATTTAAGAGTATGTTTATACATATGCTACAGTTTGTCTAAGCCCAATAAAAAACTCGTGCTCGATATTTTCAGTAGTTTTATTTATATAGAATTTACTTTTCCTTCTTTTCATCTTGTTTTCTTTTTTTTTGCTTTTTCTGTTGTTATTCTTTTCTTTTCATTTGCTTTTTGTTTTTGTTTTGTTGTTTCTGTTTGTTTTGTGTTTCATTCTTTTCTCTTTCTTGTTTTTGTTAGTTTGCTTTGTATTGTTGTTCTCCATTTTTACTTTCTCGCTCATAAACGTTGCTTTTGTTTTTTGTTTGTATTTTGTTGTTGTTTGCATTATAAACAGCTAACACTTTCGTCAACTAGAAATTGCGATATCTAGGCTATATAGCTGGCCCTCTATCATATCATATCATATCATATAATGCATGTATTCTGTTAGGTCCTCATAGGTTAACCTTGTTACCTAGTGCTGTCTAGCCTGCCTGTTCATCATCCTTATCGTCCTCATCGTCATCTGCTTTAATTTCCTCTTCTACTACTAACTTGGATGCTACGTAGCACTCCCGGATAGCCTGGGTTATTATTGAATTTGGATATTGCAAGAAGATTTTTTGCTGCGGACTCTTTCTGTTGTGTTTGTATGTGCGTGTGTGTGTGTGTGTGTCTTTCTCTGATCTGTGTGTGTATTGTGGTTTTTCTCCTTGTTTTTATATTTTTTATTTTGTTTTATTTTTTTTTTTATAAACTATGATATGCCTTGCTTTGCTTAAATATTTTGTTTATAAACTTTTTAGCTTTTCATATAATAATTTCATATAAATTTTGTTTGCCTTTTTTTGGGGTTTGCCTAAAATATGTTTAATTTACCATTGAGTGTGTGTATGTGTGTGTTTGTGTGAGTGTATAGGTATATCAGTTATTGGATTTCTCATCTAAAATATTTGTTGTTGCTTGTTCGCGTCTATTTGTTTTCGGTGCCTGATATAAGCTGCTCTCATTATCATAATCATTAATCATTAATCATTAAACATTATTCATTATTCATTACGAGTACTTGACTTGATTCCATTATTCAGCATTGGACAACTCGAAAATGAGTTGGCTATAAGTGTTTTGTGTTGCTCAGTGCTTTTAGTTGATTTTTAGGTTTTTCTCTTTTCATTTTTTCTGGGGGTTTTACATTCGACTTGCTTCGACTACGAAAAAAATA